TCCTCAGAAGGTTGAAAATAGAAATACCTTATGATCCAGCAATTCCTCTACTCGGTATTTACCCACAAGTAAAACGAGCCACAACACAAGAAGATAAATGCACACCAATGTTTATATCAGCATTATTTACAATAGCAAAAAGATGGAAACAGCCAAAGTGCCCATCAACTGAAGTATGGATAAACAAATTGTGGTACATACACACAATGGAATATTATGCTACACTGAAGAATAACAAGGAAGTGGCAAGCCACCGCATAACATGGATGAACCTTGAGGACATTATGCTGAGGGAAATTAGTCACAAAAAGAGAAATACTGCATGGGACCACTATTGTAAAAGGCTAAGAAAAATAAATTATACTAAAGGAGGGTAGGGGGAAGTTTTGTTGGTTGCTGGGAAATAGGTGGTGGGTGGGGGGAAGGGCGGAAGATGGAGCACAGGGTGGGGATTGGGCTCAGGAGAGCTTGGGTGATGGGGAGGAGGGCAATATACAGGCAGGGAGCGGGAAGTGGAGAAAAGGGGCAGATGGGAGAACAATAGGGCATGTTTAGACGGACCAAGTGGGACAGAGATAAAGGACGATGTGTGCACAGCCTTGGAGCTCCAGGGCTCTGAGATACAGGGATTGACTCATGGTCAGAATGGGTGGGGAATTGTGTTAAGATGCTTGACTGTTTTTTTTTGAATCTTGGTTTCCCTTGTATTATAATATAGAGTAGACACTGGAGGGGGAGCGAAAGGAATAGTCAGAAACATCACAATAGAAGGCTTGTCTTCTGCCTTTAACTGATTGGAATACCTAAAACGGGGCTACAGCGTACCCGGTGAATGAGGCTTTCTGCAGAGCCTTGGCAATACATAAAACTATAGGTAGAAATCAGAACCACATCCAGATCACCAGAGATGAGAAATCCCCACTTGAAGGGATGAGCTGACGAGCCTGGAGCGGTGAGAAGAACAAAAGATACGTCTCGAATGGAAAACCTACAGGAAAAACACAACACAATGGAGACAGATGGACTGCTACTACGGGAACAAACAGGTCGCTCCACTAGGAGACATTGGGGCAGTCGGTCGGGTCCCACCAACGTAGACCCCTCCCCAAACAAAACAAAACAAAACAAAACAAAAACTGAGACTCGGTGGAAATGCACGCTCGGAGAAATGGGGTAAAAGCAGCAACGAAGTGGCGAGCTAAGCCTCACAATATTCAGAGGGCTTCTGTGGACCCAGTTGGAGACCTGGTTGGCAAGCAGTGCGAGGAGACCCGAGGACTCCTGGGCCCAGAGTCAGTGACGTGGCCACGAAGGACTCAAGTGGAGAATGGAGCTGCCGGCTGATGGGAAGAGAGGGCATGTGCACAAGAACACCCACACTTGCAGATGACACCCACGTGACCAGGACTGGATGACTGGATGATCAGAGCTCAACCAGGAGAAGAA